TTCTCTTCTGCAGCTGTTGAAGTGGCAGTTCATGCCCGCCAGTGTACCAGGCTACATTTCTGGGGTGGTGAAATACACATTATGTGCAGATATCTGGGTGTATTTAACAGCTCCTCCCTCAAGGTCTCTCCCCTCAAGCTTTCAGGAGATTTGCAGATATGGGTGGAGTTCAGGAAATCACAACATGGGCAAACTTTTTTTTAAAATCTATTTTATCGATTTTTTATAGAGAAGAAGGGTGAGGGATAGAGAGTTAGAAACATCAATGAGAGAGAAACATCGATCAGCTGCCTCCTGCACAATCCCTACTGGGGTTGTGCCCGCAACCAAGGTACGTGCCCTTGACCGGAAACGAACCTGGGACCCTTCAGTCCACAGGCCAACGCTCTATCCACTGAGCCAAACCAGCCAGGGCTATTTTTTATAATTTAAAAACTCTGCTCCAAAAATTAAGTCCTTACCGGTGGAAGTTCAGGATCTTGCCATGCAGTTAAATGCATCTGTAGAGATGGCTGAATGTGTGCTTGCTTGTCTCTAGGTTGATGGGTTGGTCAGTTTCTAGCCCTTGTCCATTTCGATGATGAGAGCTGAGCTGTCACATAAGATATCAATCCAGGAGCCTATTGATGTTCCTGGAGATATTCTAGGATTGATTCAGCACTTGCCTAATTGAAGCTGAATTATAATCAGTCAACTTTCAGTGGTTAAGGTTGACTCACCACAATGCATCTATTTGCCATCACCTGTAGAAAAGGTGCATCGAGGGGGTGTAGGTTGTGTTTCTAGCACTAGTCCAGGCAAGAAGTTATCTTAACAGAACAAGTTTCTGGTTTGTGCAGATGTGTTTGGTCAGGGGGCAGGCACATTCAGTTAGCTGGGAGAATGCTCATGGTCGCCATAACTCCCTGCCCCGTTTGCTATCTCTCTGGAATCCTCAGATCCACGCTCCTCTGCCAGGTGCTGTAGGTTCCTGCAGAATGCTTGCCTCTGGCTCCCTCGCTGCCAGCAGGGCTCCCCAATGGAAGGCATCAGAGCCTCCACAGTCTCAGCTCTCACTGGGCTCCAGTAATACCGTTTCCTCCCCTCATTCCTTCAGCTGAGGGTCATTGCTAGTCCCTGGGTGCTTCACTGTCCCTGTTGGGTCTCTTATCTTTGCGATCCCATAAAGTCTCAACATCTGGGTTGATTTGTTTCCCATCAGGATCCTGCTGGATATGTCCATGTCACTGGTTACCATGGCTTCAGATCATTGGCTTCTTAAACTTCCCAGTTCTGATGCATTGCTCATCTAGCAACCTTCTGAGAACAGTCAGTCATCCCAACTGCATTTATCTTAAAGGAAGGAAAGTGTAACTGGTAGCATAGAGTGGCAACCTGCACATTAGTAAAACTGGCATTCGGAAAAGTGTACCAGGGTCTCATGAACAGATGAGCATGGGTCAGTCTTTGGAGATCAGTCCTCTACCAAAATCAAATTGTGCTCACAAAAGCCAGGGCCACCCATGAGTCTGGTGACATGATCAATGTTAGAATTTAGGGCAGTGATGGCGAACCTATGACACGCGTGTCAGGGGTGACACGCAAACTCATATTTTTGGTTGATTTTTCTTTGTTAAATGGCATTTAAATATATAAAATAAATATCAAAAATATAAGTCTTTGTTTTACTATGGTTGCAGATATCAAAAAATTTCTATCTGTGACATGGCACCAGAGTTAAGTTAGGGTTTTTCAAAATGCTGACACGCCGAGCTCAAGAGGTTCGCCACCACTGCTTCAGGAGATCTTGTCCTTTCCCATGCCATGTAGTCACCTCTTTCCTCACTGATCTCTCAAGCCATTTCTTCTCACTTTCCTCTGCTGACTCATCCTTCTTTGTCAGCCAATGGAGTTTCTTGAGGCTCAGGCCTAGGCCCACTCTCTCCTCACTCCATGGCCTCCCTGTGTGCAGTCTCTGCCCACAGCTTCAGTTACCATCTTGGTGTCAGTGGCCCTGCATTTATCTCTAGCTCAGACCGCCTCCAGGCTCAGGCCCTAACTGCTGTGCGGTATTTTTTCTCACGTGTTTGGCAATCACTTAAAATTCTAAATGTTTGTCCTAGCCTAATCAGTCTATGGCCATCAGAAAGGACCTGGTAGTCTCCCAAGGTCGGGTTTATGGGCTCATTGTAGTGAGGGAGACCACACCCCAGAGGAGCCGGGGCATCGTGCCAAAAATGAAAGGACAGAGCTGCTGTAGCATTTGGGCAGGTGGAGTTAGGTGAAGTGCAAATGAAGTCATGTGCTGATGGCCTCTAAGCAAAGCAGGGCTGTGTGCCAAGGGGTCAGCATCAGGTCTCACTGCAGTGGACCCAGGGCCCATTTCCTTGAAAACTACAAAACGTACATCGATGAGCACTTAGTGTCTAGAAATCCCTATTTGAATCCCTGCAGCTAGCTGGAGATCAAGGCTGCTGCTCGGTCCCAGTGATTCTGACTCTGTAGGTGAGAGTGGGCTGTTTCCTTCTTACTGGTATAAGTAAAATTTCTGGTAGTGTGGGATTTTACAGAATAAGCTTTCTCTGAATAAGAAACTAGCAGTCACTGAAAGAAGGGTCATTATGACTCTTTACAGTTGCAGTGTGTCCATGAGAGAAGTATTGTTTCCTGTTAACATGGCAGCTAGCTTACTGTGTGTCTTGTCCCAGCCTGACAATTGCAGGACAGAGTTTCACTGTCTCAGAGCAAGCTCATTTTTACTTTCTTTTTTTTAATTTTTATTTTTTAAATATATTTTATTGATTTTTTACAGAGAGGAAGGGAGAGAGAGAGATAGAGAGTTAGAAACATCGATGAGAAAGAAACATCGATCAGCTGCCTCCTGCACAACTCCCACTGGGGATGTGCCCGCAACCCAGGTACATGCCCTTGACCGGAATCGAACCTGGGACCCTTCAGTCCGCAGGTCGACGCTCTATCCACTGAGCCAAACCGGTTTCGGCTCATTTTTACTTTCTACGTTGGACTCATTATATTAGCCCCCCTCATGATATCCATCCTCCCTCCTCACCTAAAACTGTGCTGCCTGACTCCCCAGACCATCCACACACAGACCAATCGAGGATCCTCCTTGTTGCCCACTTCTCCTGCTCACTATTCAACCCTCACTGGTCTGCCAGTAAGTCCTACACATTTTCCCTCACGGGTGCAACCTGAGTTTGTCAGCTTACCTCCATTGTCACCGCCACCACCTGAGTCCAGGCCCCCATCATTTTGCCTGAATCTCTGCCTCCTGGCAGCATTCACTCATTGCCACTCTCCAGTCTGTTCTATGCACTGTAGCCTAAGTAATTAAAAAAAAAAAAATCCTCATCCTAGCTGGTTTGGCTCAATGGATAGAGGGTTGGCCTGCGTACTGAAGGGCCCCAGGTTCGATTCTGGCCAAGGGCACGTGCCTGGGTTGCAGGCTGGATCTCCAGTAGGTGGCGTGCAGGAGGCAGCCAGTCAATGATTCTCTCTCATCACTGATGTTTGTCTCTCCCTCTCCCTCTCTAAAACCAGTAAAATATGTTTGAAAAAACAAAAAGATTAAAAAGAAATCCTCACCCCAGCCCTGGCCAGTGTTCTCATTGGTTAGAGCAGCGGTTCTCAACCTGTGGGTCGCGACGCCTTTGGTGGTCGAACGACCCTTTCACAGGGGTCACCTAAGACCATCCTGCATATCAGATGTTTACATTACGATTCATAACAGTAGCAACATTACAGTAATGAAGTAGCAACGAAAATAATTTTATGGTTGGGTCACAACATGAGGAACTGTATTTAAAGGGCCAGAAGGTTGAGAACCACTGGATTAGAGCATCAGCCCGTGCACCAAAGGGTCTCGGGTTTGATTCCCAGTCTAGGGCATGTGCCTGGTTTGCAGGTTTGACCCCCAGCCCTGGTCAGGGAGTATGCAGGAAGCAACCAATCTGTGTGTTTCACCTGCTGTATATCCCCTCCCTTCCTTGCTCCTTCCCTCTCTCCCTCCCCCTCTTCTCCCCTCCCTACCTTCTTCTCTCTCTAAAAATCAATGGAAAAATATCCTCAGATGAGGATTAATAGCAACAACAACAAAAATACCCGAGGATATGTTTAGAGAGAAGAAGGGGGAGGGAAACATCAATCGGTTGCCTCCCATATGCACCATGGCTGGGGATTGAACTCAAAATCTTTGGATCTTCAGGATGAAGCTCCAACCAACTGAGTGACCTGGCCAGGGAAGCCCAAGTAATTTTTAACAATTCAGTCTTTTTTTAACCCTCACCTGAGGTTATATTTTTTAAAATTTATTTTTAGTGTTGAGAATATTACAGATGTCCCTCTTCCCCTCAATCCCTTTACTTTCCTCCACTTGGCTCCTGCCCCACCCCAGGCCTTCACTTTACTATTGTCTGTGTCCATGGGCTATGCAGATATGCATATAAGTTCTTTGGTTA